TGTAAGTTTTGTTATTATCGTTAAATTGTAAGTTACGTTGACATTGTAAGTAGTAGGTAATTTTTGTATGTAATGTAATGTAAGATATTGCAATTAAAAAAACAAAAAATAGTAAAGGGTGAAAAAGGAGACCCTGCAATAGGTTTTAAACTAACTCCTGACGGTAATTATGATTTACAAAATAAGAAAGTATTCAATCTGTACAGTCCTGATGATTACAAAGTTGATGATGATTACAACACAAGAATCAGAGATCTCAAGAGCACTGTTAACAAAGAATATTTCAACAATAAATTTCTGAAAAAGGACAGAGATGGTAATTATTTTGATTTGAAAGGAACAGTGATCAAAAATTCAGAACCGTATTATGAGTTACACAATGACAATGACCTTGTTCCCAAAAAATATGTTGATACAGAAAATAGTAAGCAAGATATTGCTATTGCAGATAAAACAAGCAAGGGTTATGTTGATACAGAAAACGGTAAGCAAAGCATTGCTATTGCTGATAAAACCAACAAGTCTTATGTTGACAACACTGATACGGCTCTTCTAAATAATATTAATGGAACAAAAGAAGCTCTACGAGAAGTATCCATAAAATTGGATAAAGGTTTGGACAAAAAAATTAAGCATTCATGGTTGAAATTCCATGACTGTTGATTTGGATATGAGTAACAAAAAAATAATGAACATGGCACCTGGCAACAGCAGCAATGATGCAGTCAATTATCAACAGTTCACAACCAAAGCAAATGAAAACGAAACCCTTTTACTTGATGGTTCCAATAAAATGGCTGCTGATTTAGACATGAACAATAACAAAGTAACCAACTTATCCACTGACTCCCACAACATGTTGTCAGCCACCAATATCAGGTACGTAAACCAGGTCAAAGGGGATATGATTATAACACTGACTGATAGTTTCAACAAAAAAATAAATGAGTCACATATCAGCGGCTCAACTAACAAACAAATGTTTTCCAATACCTTATGGATGATGTTAATCAATCAACAAGTGAAAGTAACATTATTGCTGATGGTATCGAAGACTTTTCTGATTCACCTCATGATATCAATAAAAATGTTTACAGTTTCAGAATGGGAAAAGGAGCACAAAATTGGTATGCATCTCGACTGGGATTCATATGTATCTACTTCCTGAGGGTGAATTCACTTTGGTGATTGAATTCTTCCCACCGGCTATGGATCAGGTGACGGTGTCAGTTGTTTCTTCTTTATTGAATATCGGCGAACAAGCAACCAGGCTTTTTTCGAAATACAGCAGCTCCATCATTCACTTGCATAAATATGATGTAACTCCACCTGAATACATCTATGTTGACCTGAAATGCCAGGGTATTGCACACAGTCCGTCTCAGGGGCGTGGCCATTGGTTATTTATCGATCAAGGGAAAACAGAATGATGTGAGCTCAGATGTCTTCGATGAGCTGTATTATTTAGAAAATGGAAAAATGACATTCAAAACTGCTGTTGATTTATGAAATCTGCAAACTTCAATGAAAATATTGACATGGCAAGAACAATGGGGTTCAATGTTGCAGCTCACACTATTGTCCCTGTTGCTATCAATTCAACAGATGCGATTTTACATGCCAGGTCCATTTTTTTGAAATATTTTTATGTTATTTTAAGTAGCCAGTATTTTTTATGATAGTATTTGTACAAAGCTTTCAACTCTGATATCTCAGCTTCGGTTAAATTATTATCAATATGATTGAAATTGAAAATAGTCTTTGATGATTTCATATATATGGTTTAGACTATATTTAATCTAATCCAAAATATGTTCCTAACTTTTTTTCTGCTGATACCATAGCATGAAAAGCATGTCCACCTATTGCATAAGAGTTTGTTGTGAAACCCATTCTCAAAAGATAAGCGGACTGTATTGATTGAAAATGAATGTTTTTTGTATCCTGGCTGCGGGGAGCACGTGTGTCAACAGTTTCTATGGGATCAATTCCAGCAATAGTTGTGCTTAGTTTATTACCTTTTTTAGTACTCCATAACATTATTTGCTTGTTTATAAATTTACTTTTATCACCAGTTAAATCCAGAAATACGTTTGTTCCATCAAATTCTGTTTGCAATGTAACAATATTATCAAGTTTTTGAAAGTGATACAATGTCTTAAAACCTCCTTTTTTCCCCATATAAAAATTTAAATAACGATAACTTGAGACGTTGAAATCTATTTTAACCACAGCAAAAATCGTAAAATCTTTAGTTATGTCAAGATTGACATCCATTTCACCATAGAAATTATGGAAACCATAAGTCATGCTGAAATCAGAAAAACGGTTTGCCACTTGGTGAACCAGTTGAGGTAACTACACTCAAATCGTTGAATGCAGTCACATTAGGACAACTGCTTTTGAACTCTTCCGGATCTAATAAATCAGCGTAAAATTCGAATATTCTTTTGAAAACCTCATTGTGCTGTTCGGGCTATTTGTTTTTCAACAGCATATACTTTTGTCGTCAGATCAGTAATTTTTTATTCAAAGGATCGATTTTGGTTTGCATTTCTCTTCAGAAAAATTTCACAAGATTATCTTCAAATTCATTCAACTGTTTGATATTCACAGTATCATTATTTTCGACACCATCTTGGACATTTTTTATTTTTGTCAATCCCCATGGTCCAATTCCTGCAGGTTGAAAAGTCAGTTTACCTTAGCTCTTTTCTGTTTACTTCTCTTTGTTTCTACTATAGCAAGTTTGTCATCTGGATGTTTCCTTCTTGAATCATTGGTTGACTCCTGCTGCCTTTTGTTTGTGGCGGTGAATAACACTTTTGAAACCTATGAACAAAAATAATGTGGAAAAACAAGAAAAACTTGAAGAATTACACTATAAAATCAATATTCATTAAGTCAAGAAAGGTTTTCTGGTTGACAATGCATTACGTCCGGAGAGGAAAGTATGATAGTACATGTATACTCTTCAAATGTTTCTTAAATTTGAAAAGTGTAAATTTCCACTTTTGTTGATGAAGCCAAAATTGTGTGTGCATGTTACAGTGTTGCTGAATGTGAGTAAATTTAAGGCTTGTTGTGACAAGTTCTTAAAGAGCTTTATTTAAAATTTCAAAAAACAAATATTGTGGCTCATACAATATAAGTGCATCCTACATATAACTTCTCGAACTCATTAATAATTCATCAACTTAAAACAAAGAAAATCACAAATGCAAAGGAGGTTTGGATACCCAGTCTTAATTAGCATAGATTTCACTTCTCTGTTTACTCGATACTTTTTGTTTCGATTGAGAAGATATATTAAACACTCGAGACTGTGTTTCATCGGCTATCCAAACACCTTGAATTTCATCAAAAATACTCCGCTGTACGTAATATTTTCAACTCTCTTCTCGGTGTTTGGATATCCTGATGAAACACTGCCTCTCATGTTTGATATAATATATCAACCATGAAAGACCATGTTTGACCACATTTTCAAACACCAAGAAGAGAGTTGAAAATATGATGCATAGCAGAGTATTTTTGGCAGCTTCAAGGTGTCTGCAAATGTGGTCAAACACTGTCCTGAGTATTTGATATATCTTCTCAATCGAAACTAAAACTAAGGAGAAAATGGAGAAATAAAATCGTAAAAATCTATGCTAATTAAGATCAGATATCCAAACACTGTCAGTCATGACTTCCTTTGTTTAAACTTGATGAATTATTAATGAGTTTAAGAAATATTACATAAACAGTATCAATAATATTACGTTTAAAAAAAACTGTGAAAACATCCAGACTATTCCATAAAAAAGTCAAATGAAGTATATAACAACAATTATAGTAGCGTGACCGTAGTTGTAAGTCATGCAAGATAAAAAAAACCCAGGCTCAGTATTGCTACATGTACAGTTCTGTAATGAAGTATTACTGCCATTATTTTGTAATGTAGGTAATGTAATGTACGCACTGTAAATTAGATACTTAGTGTGATACTTCACACTAAATATATTATGTATATGTTTGTTGTGCAAGTAACATATTATGTACGTAGAACTGTAAACTGTTTCTTTAACTTCTTTGGTATCATTAAAATATATTGAAAATAATACAAAGCTGCACTATGGACCATTACAGACAAGTTTTACATGGACTTTCACAACTACAGTATTGGAAATATAACTATTTCAACCGAATTCATCACTAATTAAACTAATAACATATTTCTCATCCAGAGAAATTGTTTTGGTGTTATAAACTTTTGGAATTTGGGTACCACAAATACTATGTCTTTTTACATATATAAGAAACCTTTGTTTCCTTCTCTTTCCACCAATGTTTCATTCATCTTAAAAAGTTAATAGCACACCAAAATTTGGTGACCTTTTATATTTAAGAGCAATAATTTATACTCACTTTGTTCACGTCAAACTAAAATCTCAACATCATCCACATGTAGTTGATTGAATAATCTCATAAAGCAATGATTCAATTTGCCCTTGCTGGATGCAAACTTGGGACTACAGTTCTACTTCCCATAAGCCGCCACCCAAAATGTCAAACCTAGGTGGTTGCTTGCAGGAGGTGGTCGCTTAATAGAGCTTAGACACAATTAAGTCAAAATTTTGCCTCATTAGCATATAAAGAATGTACTGACTACCCCAAGTACTGTGCTTCGCTTTTTATACTGTAGTTCAGCTTCCAGCAAACTGTTGACTGTACAGTGTATGCGCATTTTTTCTATAAAATTTTAAATGTTTTATTCATGTGAAAAGTCAATTTCGAGAAAAAATCAGGTACTTCCCGTTAATAGTAATAATTAATGAGCTGTTCCAAATGGAGAGTGCAAAGTCACCAAGCTTCGCTTATTTATAAATAGGTGAATGCCATAAAGATCGTGTTTATGAAAAATAGTGACTTGGATGTAAGTGTTCTCCAAAAGTATATTTGTGCTATCCAAATGCGTATTGTTGTCCATCTGTTGAGAACGCAAAAGTCAGCTGAAAAGCTTATATAAATAACACCAAAACAATTGATTGAACAGTGATATTTCCATACCGTAGACGAAAAAGTCCCTTTTAAACTTGTCCAGTGTTTACATGTATTCAGGATTCAGGAACATCTTTGATTTACACCTTCTTTCCACCCAAAGGATGATATCATTGCTTTTGAGTCATTGTCACCCTCTTACCTAACGGTCAAGTCTTCTTGATGCATATTCCTTACCATTTCAAACCCTTTTAAGGTGTGTTTTGATTCTAAGTAAAGAATTTTGCCATCTAGAAGAAACCCATGACACATGACATCATGTTTTGATGCTGTGATCAAAAAACAAAACTTTCCCCTACCCCCTAGAATATGCAAAGGACCAAAATACAATAGGTACCAAATAAATCTATGGGGAGTAGAAAAGAGGCAATTTCTTAGTATTTTCGAAGGGCCACTTGCCTCACCTACCCTACAAGGGAGTTCATATGCGTCCTCAGCTGCCCCTACATAAAGTTAATGGAGTTAACAGTGAAACTGTTACAGTCTTTTTGTATGTCATATTGTGTCCAGCTAATGAAACTATTGACATCTGAGGGCCACGTTTTTGATCAGGCACTAGCATTTTGCTCACTTGGAGTACCTTTCCCAATATTCTAACCCCAGTAGTCCTCTATCCTACAGACTTCACACTAAAAACAATATTATAATTATAATAAGAACCTTCCCAGCATCCTTTGCAGCTGAAAAATTTGCACCTTAAATAACTTTGTCAGTTTTGAAGTCCGGGACGTTGCTACATTACATGAAAAAATGCTTGCCATGAAATACATACTTTTTGCAAATTTGGTGTGATGACATCATCAGTCACATGGCCATGTCTAAAAGTGCCTTTTAATTCTGTGTGAGGACAAGCATTAAACAACTGGAACACACTTCACATATTATTTCAAAGGTTAATGCTATAGAGCATTTACAGGGTTGCCACCCACCGGAACTATCCCTTACTTTTCCCTGACTTTTCACTGACTGTAAAGCAATTTTCACTGACCCTGCAGGACGACTATTCTAGCCATGAATCAACAAAAACAAGGATGGGTCAGATAATTTTTACAACAAAATTGCCTTGTCTATACAAAAACATCTCAAAAAATAATTTGCAGCAACCTTAAGATAAAATTCCCTGACTTTTCACTGACTTTTGAACAGGGATTTAGAAACTCCCTGACCTGATACAAAACCCGCTGACTTTTCCCTGACCTTAAATAAAATCTATTTTTCCCTGACTTTTCCCTGACTTTACCCTGACTTTTCCCTGACCTTTCCCTGACCATGGAAACCCTGGTTTAGAAATGGCCATGCCACTTCTGCTGTCTCACGATTAAGGGGGCTATTCATACAAACAAAAAAAGTGGGGGACTACAGTATTGTAGCTTTGACCTCAGAACTGTAACAACATAATTAATATGATCGTCATCGTAAACAATAGCAAACATAACAGAACATAAGGTACAGTATTCCTCAATAGGTACATCTATATTTACACTCTGATAAACTTCATTCTTATCATGTTCTGTTTGACAACTGCACAAGCAGGATTTTGAAGAACTTAACAGCAGAGGACAGTTCTGACAGCAAGAGTGAAACAGTGGAAGATAACTGATGGACGTGTATTTAAAGTTACGTCATTTCCAAATCCTTGGTAAGCACTCTGATAACGTAACTTACTAGCATGTGTTCTGAAGAACACGTTCTCCTATAGTTTGCATTCTGGAGAGTGCTTTTTTTCCATTTTTGTGATTCCTAACTGTTCCGTATCCGTTCCATTTCCGTTCGGTATCCATTCTGTATATGTTCTGTACCTGTTCTTTACCCGTTCCGTTCCCAGTCTGTTCGCATTCTTGTACCCGTTCTGTATCTGTTCCATTCCTGTTCGAAAACGTGTTCCCTGCTAGGTTTCTTCTGATTAGTACTGTAACAATCCACAACTATGGTAAAAGCTCTGAAGTAGGGGGTAATGTATCTTTCCAACACGTTGGAGGAGACTGGTGACAAAAGCGTATAGTTGTAATGCTCTGCGCCAAATCGAGCTTCATAAAACGGGTGCCAGTTGTCGTTCCTGGTATCTGTACTTCAACAAATATTTCAGCTTCAAAAATACCTCCTCAACGGGATTCAGATCTGGTGAATTCACTAGAAAGAGAACGAGCTCCATTCCCAAATCATTTAGGAAGCTTCACAGTGCTCTTTCCACTTCGCCATGATACGTGGCTAGATTGTCCACCACAACAATGTCGCCAACTTCGAGAATTGGTCTTTGCGTTATTGGATCAACAGTTTGCGAAGCCTCATCAAAGAATCATAAAAACTGTACAGAGTTTGACACTCCTTCTATGATGTTTCCATATCTTACTCCATCATACACAACCAGAAAGTTCAGGGTGAGGTTTGCGGTAGACAAGTATCTTCATGCTTCTACACAATCTTCACCGACAGGTGAGAAACCAAAGTTTCTGTGACTGGCATCAGGCAGTTGAAAACCTGACTCATCGAAAAACTTAACAGAGGAAGGATCTTTGTCTTTTAAATAGTCAATGTACAACTGAGTGTACACTATATTTTTGGGAGTAAAACACTCTGACGCACATTTCCCCAATCTTTTTCAGGAATAGTTGTGGCCACTTGGAAGTTTGTTCCCAATATTTCTGGAAATTGTTGATGTTGACAGTACTCCGTAGTCAACGTGAATGGCAAAATCATCTCACAATTCTTTAAGAGAGGACGAACCACCTGCTTACACCATGGTCTCCAACAGAAAAGAGTCTTGGAAAGTACACTCAGGGACTGTTCAA